CATTTATACATTTATAAAATAAAAAATAAATTCATTTATATATTTATAGCATAAAAACGTAATATAAAAAAGAAAGTAGTTAAAATAAATAATAAAATTAATAAATAATAAAATTTGTGGTTACGAGATTACATATATACTTTAATTTCTGTGATCACACACATATATATAGTCTAACATACAATATTCAGATGTGAAGAAACTCAATTCGTTGAACGAATTCTTTTAATTCCTATATTCTTACTTCTTTTAATTCCTATTTTATACATCTAAACAAAATACAATAAATAAAAAATAGATTATTACATAACAAATGGATTAACTGAAGTTGACAATATTTGTTATTTGTTAATCAAATGTAGTAACATGAAAAATTGTATTTTCAACACGTAATGATTCAATACGTAAAGATTAGAAAGAATTTATGAAAATTCATTCTTTTATTTTAAAGAGATAATTTTTTATAAATATTTAACCTCAATGACAGTACAATTCATTAATTTTTTTTATATTGTAATAAGATGATAAGGCCAACGAAGAATTTATATTTATATTTAATTTTAGACTTATATTTATTTCAATAATAAAATATTATAAACCATTTTACTATAAATTATAAAGATATAATGATCGCATGAACATTAAATACATGCGTATGTATATATCTATTTTCACTTAAATCAATAAGTAATTATTATGCATGTATATGTAGTAATATATTTTAATATTTTCGTTTTAATATTCATATTTTATATTGATATTGTATGTATGTAAATAAAAATGATGAAATGAATACAGCTAAGCGCGCATTATATATATACATGCACAGATAAAAATAAACAGATATTTAATATGATCTATATTTGATAATGATTATTTTATATATATGATAAAATAAAACAATATTAATATACTGTTTTATTTGTAAATAACAATTGTAAAATAAATTGAAACATTATCACGTATATAACATTTATCTATTGTTACATGTTACATAACCATATTAAAAAACGGTGTAAAAATAATGAAAAATAATGAAAAACAAATTATGGACTATTATGAATTATATCTGAATTGAAGATTTTTATTGGTAGTTTAAATTCTTGTCTTTTTGTATGTTTTTATTGATAGACTAAATTCTTGTTTTGTTTGTATGTTTAGTTTTTTAAGAGATAATTATAAGAATATTTAAAAACTTTTTATTTTCCAAATGTAGTTATTTAAAATAAAATTAAAAAATAAATAAAATAATTATAAATATGACACATAGTAAAAATTGATAAGTAAGTATTGTTTATGTATTTTTAATATATTTGTATATTTATATTAATAAATTAATATAAATGTATAAAGTTATAAATTGGAGAGTCAATATTTTTGTTTAAATTCGGTTACTAAAAAATTCATATATATGTTGATTATATTCTGTAAAATAATTCTTCTAATATACGAACATAATACAATGCTAAAAAATATAATTTTGGAATGTTTTTTCCAAGGAAACGCGTATAGTTTGTAATTTATATTCAGTTTTAATAATTGTAAATATAATAGAAAATCTTCAATATTCAATGTGCAATATGCAATACATCTGTAATGCATCTTTTCTAGTCCAATCTGTACACTAGTACAATACATTTTTTCAATAAATTGATACTTATTTCTAATAATTTTAAAATAATTAATAAAATATTTTAATGGGAAAGTGTATTAGTGTATTTTTTTGTACTTCCTATATATGATTAAGTTTTGTATAAAATGTTACTAATTACTTCACATTTCAGGTGTTTTGAAAGATATAATTTTATTTATCATTAATATATTTCTTCTCTTTTTTGTTTTTTACGACTATTCAATCATTACATATATAAAGTATGTAAGTATGCAAAGTATATAATACACAGTTATACTTTATTATATATTTAATTTCTTTCCTGTATACATCAAATAGAATAATATATTTATTTCAAAATTATAAAGTTCAGTAGTAAAATTGTAAAAGCACCAATACCTTGAAATATAATTTTAACAAGAATATAGTAAAATGAATACATTACACATATATGTATATATATTATACTACTTATAACAATAAAATTTTGCATTGATAGGTTGCAGATATTGATCTATGGCATATTATTTAATATATTTTAAAACTAATCACTAATATGATTACATTGTATTAAAAATAATGTATTGTTAATATAAAAATACTTATAATTTTAACTTATATTATTAGAATTAATTATTAGAATTAAAAAATATAAACAGTAATTATTGATTAATTTTGCTGCAATACTAACAGTATTTCAATATTAACAATAATTTATACAACATATTCGCAATTTTCAATAATTTCACTAATAATAATTCTTCTATAGATATTGAATATAATTTCACTAATAATTCTTCTATAGATATTGTATATAACAATTAGAACTGATTTTTAAAGGTTAGATTATTTTAATATTATTTTATTACCTATTTTATATGTTTACGATGTATTGGAAGAATTAAACTTTCAATCTTCTAATGCATAGAAGATATTGAACATTTAATAATGAATGATTAATACCATTTTCATCATATTACAAATTACTAATTTCAGTATTCAAATGGTATAAAATTTTTAATCTATTTAAAAATTTAATACTACATTTCTTTAAGTTCGTTTATTGATTTTTAACATTAAATGTTTGATCTGTAATAAATTTTAAGAATTCATCAATTCTTCATTTATAAGAATTTATCTGAGAGTAGAAAATATAAAAATAGCAATATATTTTTTCTAAATGTTTGATGATAAGATTTCTTAATTACTGTTATATATACTGACAAATTTCTATTAAAAAATGTTTTCTATAAATATTCATTATAAAAATATAATTAAATTTTGCTTTTTAAACATACACTAGTACAAAATATTAATATTTAATTTACAAAATTAGTAAATTTTAAGTATACTAAAATATTTTGCATTTTGTATTTCTGATTTGGTATGTTTAATATTTTTTTCGTTCTTACTTCTAGTTACTTTCTATTTACTATTCCTTTTACAAACAACCGTACAAAATATTTTGTATATATAAAAGAATCATTTTAATCTAAAAAAGGAAAATTGAAACAATTTTCCATTAGCATATTGTAACTGCAATTTTTTTTGCAAAATGATTACGTAGAACCATTCTTTTCAGCTTGCAGTTTCTTTCTTTCAAGAAACACGTTCTTCATATCAGCTAATGCTCTTTCTATTTGTTTTGCAAATCTGGCTGCATTCTAAAAATAGTTTCAATTATATATAATATTATATAAGCTGTATTAATTACTTAATACTTAATTAATTATATAATTAATTATATAATAATATAAAATATACTTAATTAATTATAATAATATAAATTATATATTTACTGTTTCTGGAGAACTACGTTTGCATGAAATATGAAAAAATACAAGATTTTCTCCAGCGATAATATAAGAAACTCCATAACCATCATCAGCTACAGGACCAAAACCTCCCCCTGCAGAGATACAGTTTGGATGTTTTTTCAAGTTTATTAGTGAGGTTTGACCATGTGGAGTTTGTGAAGTAGATAATTTCCATGGTTCACTTAAAACTTCCTAAAAGAAAAAGTTCTCTTTCAATATCTCTTTAAAAAAAATCATATAATTCATCCAATCATATCTTCTTTTTTATAAAAATTACCTTCAAGAAGGGAGAATCTACTTCTAAATATTTGGATACTACATATAAACAAAATAAGTGTCTATCTATTCCTTTACCACACATAGCATCTTGATAACCTTTTTGATGCTGTTTTGCTGCTGCTATCAATAAATTATATTTAGTTTCAATCTGTAACAAAAATAAAAAATCATATAATAAGGAACTAATTGTTTACAAAATATGTTATAAATATTCATATAATTTTATAATTGTGAATATATAATTCTTTATTAATTAGCTTTTTTTTATTAATGAATATTTAATTTTTTTGTTAATTAAATATTAAAGCATTTATTTTAGCATTTTTACAAAAGATAATGCTTAATAAAAAATATGAAAAATATTAAAAATTAATATGAAACCACAAACAATAAATTTTTATTATAGAAATAGAACTTATATATTACATAATATTATAACATATATATTAGATATACACTAATGAACAAAATTAAAAGATCGCTTTTGAAAAAACGATCTCTTTTTTCCAGAAAATATGTTTGAAATCTAAATAAATGTTTAGAAAGTTTAGAAATAAATGAAATAGAAAGTTTGAAAGATTAAATCCTTGGCTAATGTGTAAAATTTAAATAGTTAGTATTTGAAATAATTTGTCACTTTGGACAAATTATTATAATCTAAAAACGATTGTTAATCCACATATGGCTCTTACTTCTAATAAATTTTACTTACAGTTGCATTTTTATTCTCCATTGCTTTCACCCAATTCGTAGATTCAATTGTACATGGTCTTACAGTTTCTGTTCTTCCTTCTCGAAATAATCTAGTCATAGAAGCTTCATAAGTTAAATTAAATTTTCCAGAATCACGGAAATATGCTAATTGTAAGGCCATTTGTATGTATGCATCCGGTGACATTGAATTAATTTTCATAAATCCTTTACCATATGCATTATGTACGTAAATGCGTAATTCAACATCATTTAATAAATTTTGTGCAACCTATCCAAAAATAATTAAGAACATACTTAATATATTTTAATATAATTATATAAGTCAATTTTTTTATTGCATAAAATAAATTTTATTAAAAGTTTTAATAATTTAAACGTGTTTTTATACCTTATCTATTATTACTATATCATATTTTATCAAATATAAACTATAGTTATTAATTAATTAACTGTAAATGTATGAGGCAAAGTCTTTTAATTTCATGACTCTTACTTGATTTGATTTTTCAATTGCAACTATGCAGTCTGGATTTAAATCCCACTGAAGTCGAACAGGAGGTGGAGGTGTGAACTCTGATACTCCTTTATTATAACCATCTTCTTTATATCTATAATATATTTGAATAATGAATTTTTCAAAATATACGTAAAAAAGATACAAAATTTTATTCTATATATACGAGCACATGCATTAGTAATAACACTTGCATAAGAAATTAGAATATATGACTTTTAATATTTTGTACAAATGCAAACAATATATAATAAAATTACATAATAAAACTCCAATATCTTTAAAAAAAAAAAGATATTAATCCATGAATCATTAAACTATCTACATCAATTAAGAATAATGATCATTTGAATTTTTGTAGACTTTTAATATTCTATAAAGGCTATAATAAAAATATAATTTATTTTTAATTGTTTAGTTTTATAAAATGAAAAAAGTTTTCAAATAGTTTAAGTTCTTATTATGTAACTCATTATATTTTTCACAATTTACAAATATGTAGGATAAATTACATAATTAATATAAAACAATTTTAATTTGGTTGAAATTGTAAATATAATGATAAGAAAATATGACTTAAGGAAGTCGTTACCTTAATTATAAAAATTAAAGTTCATCTTTATATTACTAAACTGGCATACTCTTATCAGTTACATTACTAAATAAAAAAAGTATTAATTGTTTAATGATGACATAATTACATTGTTCAATGATTTATTTTAAAAAAATTGGCAATATATGTGAAGTAAACTAATATATTATAAGAAATATTATTTAATATACTATGCAGGAATAAACAGAAAATGTAATTACTTCTAATCTCTCTTTATATTTTATCTAAAAAGATATTAAAATAAAATATCTGAAAAATAAATTGCCTTATAATTTTTATTTTTATTGCATTAATTTTATTTAAATAAATTTTAAACTTTTCTCATGAAATATTTTTTATATTTTAAAAATATTTATTTTCTATTTTTATAAAATGAGTTTTTTCCAATAGTGTAACTTATCCTATATAAATATTAATGTTATGTATAAAAATGGTTTTTATGTTTGTGTTATTAAAATTCTTCTAATCAGGAATTATTTTTTAACAAATTACAAGAGTTAACATATAATATATACAATAGATGATCGGTTAACAAACAGTTCGAATTATAAACAAATTAGACAATAAACAAATCTTTCATGAAAGAGTTTTATGTTTGGATAAGGAACACTTCCTACCGCTGTGTGTAAAATTTGTAGAACTGTATTTTATTGCCATCGATGATCGGTTAACGAATAATAAGGATAACAAACATTGTCTTTAAATGTATTATGTTTGTTAACCGATCACTCACTGTATACTCTACATAAAAAGATTTTCAAATATTGCAAAAATATTTATTATCTATTTGTTGTACATATAAGAAATTTCTAAAAAATCTGCTAAATTCATCAAAAGTTTATTAAAATAGGAAAAGTAGGAAATTTTTTCATATGACGTTTCATTTTCGAGAAAATCGAATTTCAAAATGTATTAAGCATATTTGAATTTTTGAATAATATGAAATAAGAATACTTGTCCTTGTCTTTTATACAATAAATTTTACAAAATTAAAGTTAAAATATCTCTTAACTAATAATATTTTGACTATATCCATTAATGAATCAAAAAATAAATTATTTTATTTAAAAAAAATGATCTCGAAATCTTCAAAACGTCTCCATTTATATATAAAAAAAAAAAAAAAAAGAAAACATGCACCACAGAATGTTAGAACCATGCATAAACTGTATAAAAAAATTTTTTTACACAATGCATACCTTATTCAAGATGAGCAAGTTATGTGAGCCACCGTGTATTTATTACATCATAATTAGAGAAATTAAATTTTGTTACCTTTTTACAGTGGAATGTATATACATAGAAAAAGGCATTCATTAGGCATACATAAGATATAAGTGAGTTTTAAATGGACGAATATTATAAAAGAATATTTTTTGTATAATTGAAAGCAGAGAAATATGAAAAAAACAATTACCCCATTTCCACATCATTAGCGATAACATATTCCCACAGAGATCCCATAATAGGTGCATCAGCCCTAATAAGCATATTATAAATAAAATTATTTAAATCATTTTATGCGTAAAAAAATATTAAAATTATATCATTTAAGAAAATGAAATAAATAAAAATATGTTTATACAGTAGAAAAAAGGAATGATAGAATATTTATCGATTTTCAAAGATTTGTCTCTATTATTAAGCTTTACACAAAATGCATAATATTAAAATTAATAATAAAATAATACTTTCAAAAAAATATTTCTGAAAATAAATAAGAACATACATTGTGCAAAAGTAACTTATGTTAAATAAATTTTTTTAATTCCTTAATCAGCTTTAAATAATAAGTAATGCAATTAGTTTTTAAAGACACAATAGAAACAAAAAAAGTAACCACCACCCTAAAAGCTATTTCCTATTTAACTTAGTTTCTTACTCTCTATTGGTCATTTCCTGAGATATCACGTACTCCCATAAATGTGACATCACTGCAGCATCTGCCCTGCTTATTACTTTTCATTATATATCAATTCCTATATGTTACGATTTTTTTAATGTTTAAAATAAAATACTAATAGGCAACTTATTATCTTTAATCCTCAAATAAGAGATTATAAAAAAATATATGTCAATGCCATTCATGATCCATATAAGATATTACATATATAAATCACTTTACTTAAAATATATATACAAACATTATATACATATATAAAGATTTTATTGTATTTTATATCTATATTTGAATATATATAAAAGTTTTTATTATATTTTTGCTAATTGTATTTTATTTGCTAATAAAAGTGTTATTAGTAGTAAAATATTATACTCATTTACAAATGTGTGTATAAAAACTTATATTAAATACATATAAGTTTTTATGCAATAATTAATTAATAAATAAAATTTACATTTTTATATTAGTACAAAATTTATATTTTATAGTTTTATGGTAATAATTCTACTCATCATTTAAATGCATAAATCTCTTTTCTTCATAGCTTCGTTTAATTATTGCTAAAGAACTATGATCTTTTGAAGAATTTGTATTAACACTTTATATGGATTCTAAATGGCAATTTAATTTGACATACGAAAATCAAATAAGCTAAATTGCAATATTACTGATATCAAAATAGTAACGAAATTTCTTTCTTTTTTTCTTTCTTTAATATATAATTATTCGTAGAAACTTCTGAGTCCCACAAAAAACACATTTTTATTAAGATAGAATACTGCAAAACTTCTGTAATTGAATTTATTGTTCGTAAAGATAATTAAAAGCTGTTTTATTATTGCTTTTATTATAAATATATACGTTATAAATATCTCATTTAATAAAAATGGATTTTTTATGCGTATGGAAACTTTCAAAATTGTATATAATTCGTATGCAAAATATTATAAGGCGAGATCATAATGGAAATATTTTTACATTTATCATTATTATAAAAATTTGGTTAACATTAATAAAAAATATTTACTTTATATTAGAAAAATATGATTAAAATATTATACGAGGTGTGGATAAAGAATTTAAAGAACTTTTATAGGTTTTTCTTTTATAATAATAGTATTTCAATAATGTGAACATCAAAAAATAATGTTTACTTCATAATTTTATTATTTTATTGGACGGATCGTTTGTACGTATTGAAATACTAACGTTTTTATTAGACATACTATTATTCGAAGAATTAATAACTGTTTAAAGATTTAATAACTGTTTAAAGTTTAACCTATTAATAT